TCTCTCTCTCTCCCTATTAATGAGCACTTAATTCATACAATGATTACAATTAACACTCATTTCTCTGTTTGCAATCCACAGGAATATGTGACTGAGTTTTTGGGCCGACAAAGTGGTTGAGGGCCACAACGGAGCGGCCGGTGCTCTCGGGTTCACTTTTGGCCAAATGTAACAAAAGGTGTTCATTCAAGAGGATCACGAATTGGGCATGATCAAATCTGATTCTTTTATCACGTATAATTTGTAACTTTTTATGACATTTTGTAACACATTTTTATGTAAACAATACGCTTTTAAAATTATTTTCTAACTATCTTTTATACAAATTTTAGAATTAATTTTAGATTATATTTTTATAACTAATTTCTATGTAAAACAGCATTTTGTTGATAGAGATTCAATAAAGTTTGATTTGATTTGAACACTAAACTTGGTAAATAAATAACACATACATTAATTTACATCTATTAAGCATTGGCTATGTAAACATTGCAAATTAATTTATTACAGTGATATAAATTGTATTTCATTGATAGATGTGTTAATTACAATGTTAACATTATAAATTACATACATGTAGATGTAAATGTAATAAGTTATATTGGTAATACACTGAAATTAATGTGTATAAACAACTTTGTTCACACATAAATTGATGATGATGCTAAATCTGTGACAGGTTGCATGTTAATGATGCTAAAATGAGTTGAAGTTCCTATGAATGTAAACATTTTACATTGATTATAAATACAATCAGTATTTAATGAGTGACAACTGTATTATTATTTCAAATATTGAATTTATATTAACCATATTGTTTTTGACAAAAAATTAATAAATAATTTTATTGTTAGAAATGTGCATGACAAAATGCAATGTTGTTCAAATCGACCCTGATGAGTTGGCAAAGTTTTTAATGTCACATAAAGCGGTGGACGACGCGGTTGTGGTCGGCATTAATAACCGCATTGGTTTACATTGGCTTCGGGCGTATGTGGTAATCAAAAAAGGCCATACAATCGCCCATGGTGAGCTGGAAAAATATGTATCAGGTATGTTTGAAAAGATATAATTTGATAGAGTTTGTTTTTTGAAAGGTTTATAACTTGTATGGCTGATGAGTCTAATAAAGCTATTAGTTTTAATTAATTTATGTTAATAAAAGTTAATCAATTTTAAATTGAAAAGTGAAACATATTTTAAATTGTAATTAATGTGATTATGAATTATAAGTTATTATTTATAAAAAGTGTAATTTAATAAAGTTTTAATTATTTATTTTTAGAAAACAACCCTGGTTATAAGCACTTGGAGGGAGGGGTGGAGTTTGTGGACTGCATTCACATCACATTAATCGGCAATAGTGTAAGAAAATGCTATAGAAATATAGTGAATAGCGATCTGAGCGGTTAATTTACATTATACCGATATGTTGGCCACGTATATAATCATGCTCACATGTAATACTAGCTGTGATATTATTTTATTTTACAGATTTTATCTAATATTTAATTTTTTAACACCTTTTTATAGTAATTTCTATTGTATTTTAATGAATACAATAATTATTGTTTTTATTAAATGATATTTTTACCTAGATTCATTAGTTAATTCAAATTGATTGTGAATGCAAATAATAATAAATATTTGTACCGTATTACCCCGCTTATAAGTGCATGCACTTATAAGTGAATTTCACAGATTTTGCATGTCACAAAAACTACCGCACCTATATCCGGATATAAGTGCACCCCTTGTGTAAAAATCACATATAAGT